GTCTAGTTCTGTTTCTAGTTCTGTTCTAGTTCTGTTCCTATTTTCTGTTTCTAGTCTGTATAAGTGATGAACTTTCTTTTCTCTTTCTTTTCTCTTCTTTTTCTAGTTCGGTCTACTAGTTCTGTTTCGAGTTCTGTTCAGTTCTGTTCAGTTATGTTTCTATTCTGTTCTAGTTCTGTTCTATTTCTGTTGCTAGTTCTGTTCTAGTTCTTCTATTTTCTGTTCTAGTTCTGTTCTAAGTTCTGTTCTAGTTTGTTTTCCTAGTTTTCGTTCTAGTCTGTTCTAGTTTCTGTTCTAGTTCTGTTCTAGTTCTGTCGCTAGTTCTGTTCTAGTTCTGTTCTAGTTCTGTTCTAGTTCTGTTCTAGTTCTGTCTAGTTCTGTTCTAGTTCTGTTCTAGTTCTGTTCTAGTTCTGTTCTGTTCTGTTCTAGTTCTGTTTCTTAGTTCTGTTCTAGTTCTGTTCTAGTTCTGTTCTAGTTCTGTTCTAGTTCTGTTCTAGTTCTGTTCTAGTTCTGTTCTAGTTCTGTTCTAGTTCTGTTCTAGTTCTGTTCTAGTTCTGTCTATTTCTGTTCTAGTTCTGTTCTAGTTCTGTCTAGTTCTGTTCTAGTTCTGTTCTAGTTCTGTTCTAGTTCTGTTCTAGTTTGTTCTAGTTCTGTTCTAGTTTGTTCTAGTTCTGTTCTAGTTCTGTTCTAGTTCTGTTCTAGTTCTGTTCTAGTTCTGTTCTGTTCTGTTAGTTTCTGTTCTAGTTCTGTTCTAGTTCTGTTCTAGTTCTGTTCTAGTTCTGTTCTAGTTCTGTTCTAGTTCTGTTCTAGTTCTGTTCTAGTTCTGTTCTAGTTCTGTTCTAGTTCTGTTCTAGTTCTGTTCTAGTTCTGTTCTAGTTCTGTTCTAGTTCTGTTCTAGTTCTGTCTAGTTCTGTTCTAGTTCTGTTCTAGTTCTGTTCTAGTTCTGTTCTAGTTCTGTTCTAGTTCTGTTCTAGTTCTGTTCTAGTTCTGTTCTAGTTCTGTTCTAGTTCTGTTCTAGTTCTGTTCTAGTTCTGTTCTAGTTCTGTTCTAGTTCTGTTCTAGTTCTGTTCTAGTTCTGTTCTAGTTCATGTTCTAGTTCTGTTCTAGTTCTGTTCCTAGTTTCTGTTCTAGTTCTGGTCTAGTTCTGTTCTAGTTCAGTTCTAGTTCTAGTTCTAGTTCATGTTCTAGTTCAGTTCTAGTTCAGTTCTAGTTCAGTTCTAGTTCAGTTCTAGTTCAGTTCTAGTTCAGTTCTAGTTCAGTTCTAGTTCAGTTCTAGTTCAGTTCTAGTTCAGTTCTAGTTCAGTTCTAGTTCAGTTCTAGTTCAGTTCTAGTTCAGTTCTAGTTCAGTTCGTTCTAGTTCAGTTCTAGTTCAGTTCTAGTTCAGTTCTAGTTCAGTTCTAGTTCAGTTCTAGTTCAGTTCTAGTTCAGTTCTAGTTCAGTTCTAGTTCAGTTCTAGTTCAGTTCTAGTTCAGTTCTAGTTCAGTTCTAGTTCAGTTCTAGTTCAGTTCTAGTTCAGTTCTAGTTCAGTTCTAGTTCAGTTCTAGTTCAGTTCTAGTTCAGTTCAGTTCTAGTTCAGTTCTAGTTCAGTTCTAGTTCAGTTCTAGTTCAGTTCTAGTTCAGTTCTAGTTCAGTTCTAGTTCAGTTCTAGTTCAGTTCTAGTTCAGTTCTAGTTCAGTTCTAGTTCAGTTCTAGTTCAGTTCTAGTTCAGTTCTAGTTCAGTTCTAGTTCAGTTCTAGTTCAGTTCTAGTTCAGTTCTAGTTCAGTTCTAGTTCAGTTCTAGTTCAGTTCTAGTTCAGTTCTAGTTCAGTTCTAGTTCAGTTCTAGTTCAGTTCTAGTTCAGTTCTAGTTCAGTTCTAGTTCAGTTCTAGTTCAGTTCTAGTTCAGTTCTAATTCAGTTCTAGTTTAGTTCTACATTAATTCTAGTTTCTGTCACAAGAGATCAAATTTTCTATTAGTGCTTACATACTTTTTTATTTTGATGTTTTCAGGCCGAAGCATTCTGTTCCACATACAATATTGATTTATTTGTAGTCGTCTATTCTGTGGTGGATCGTTCCTCATTCAAACAGGCCGAAAAGATTTTACAATATTTAAAAGAAAACGAAATGTTGCTAACAAGAGGAGCCATACTAGTAGGCAATAAAACTGATTTGGAAAGACATCGAGAAGTGAATAGACAAAGTAAGTAAAAAAGAAACAATTTTACATTTTAAGTGAAAACTGAATTTTAATTGAAATTTGAACAAGGACTTAATTTAAATGTCAAAGTTTTTCAAAAGAACTTTAGGATATACTTTCCTTTAGACATTTCTGCAGAATTTTCTGTTTCTAGTTTAATTAATATTTTATTAAATTTTTATACCTCATTTTAAGAATTTATATCATAGACCCAACGAACAAGTTTCTTTATCGCAAATTGGCAACGGTTTAAAACTCTGTATATTAAATTGTTTGCTGGGCAAATAATTAAAATAATTATGCTTAACATAAAAAACCTATTATTATATAACCTTTAAACATTTTTTTTCATTTCTAAATTTAAAATTTTCTATTACTATTTTTATGCTTCTATTTCTATAGTGGCTCGTAAATTGGCCAAAGAAATTGCCTGTAAATTCATAGAAACATCTTCCGGTCTGGATCACAACGTCGACGAACTTTTAGTGGGTATTGTGGCACAAGTCAAACTAAATCCCCAACGTTTACGCAATCTAAGCGAAAAGGATAGACAACGTTTGAACCTGCAGAGTACAATACAAAAGCACAGACGCCTCTATGCACCACCCCGACGCATGGTGCGTCAAATGTCCATGTGCCAGGCAGAGGCAGAGGATGGTGGTGACTACAACAATGAGGGCGACGATGATAATGAGAACGAATTGGTGCATGATGAAAATCAATCAAACAACATTATGCTAACCGGAGATGAGGGCATTGGTACGGGTAGTGAGCGTACGGCAAGTACAAGTTTATCCTCTTCAAATGCGGGCAAATCGTGTGCCTCATCCATTGCATCTAAGGGACCAGTTAGAAAAACCACTAAACGTACTTTGAATTTAGAGAGTATATTGAAAATGGGTGAAAGTGAGCTAGAGGATGAAGAGGAAGCCCAAAGATTGTCATTTAATAGCAGTCAACAGTATGCACTTAACAATGCCACCAAACCTTTGAGTAAATTTGAATTGTTGGCCAACAACATGAAAACATCTAGTGGCAGGACACCCTTTGGCAGTGTTAATTCTTCACCCAAATCTAGAAAATCCTACGAATCAAGTTCAGGTTTAGGCAGCTCCCAGACACATGACTCAGCACATACCTATAAGGAAACACATGCCGAGGATTCTTTGCTAAATGACTGCAATAGCAAGACTGTATCAAAATTGACCAGTCGCACTAAAGTGTTTTTATCCTCAGTACTGCGTTTCAAAAAGGCCATTAATGTGGCCAAACGTCGAAATTCTTCTTCGTGCAGTGATCTATTTGTCATATAGGAAAATCATTAAAATGCAAAACAAAATAAAAAACAACAAAATCAAAACAATAAAAGTCTTCAAGCTAAGAAACAGACCAAGTATTTAAATATAACAATTTTATAAATTAAGTTTATAATCAAATTAAACCAAAAGACACGTTCCCATTACTCTTTATTGGGACAGGGTCACTGTTCATTTCAATTATCATGCATGCAAAATGGAATTAAACAAATATTTTTTATTAAGAATAAAATATGAAAAAAAGAAAAAATTTAATTTTCTTTTATAGTTAAAATAAAATGCAATAAATTAATTTAGAATTTATATATTTCATTGCATAAAGCAAACATGCAACCATTTTCAAGGTTTCACAAAAATAGAAAAAGAAAAATCAGATAAATTTTGCTTAAACAAATAAAACAACAGAAATATATCCACCACTTTTGGTAGTGTCATGGAAAAGGGAATTCATCAGTATTTTTAATTTATTTTTAAAAATTAAAAACATATTAAATTCCATCAAATAATGAAAATATGAAATGCAAGAAAAACCTTTTTAATCAATTTACTTGTTTACTGCTATTTCATTTAAAATATCTGAAAAAACGCAAAAAAAAATTCACGGGAAAACTAATAAAAACGATAATTAAGCAAAACTCTAGTAAAACCGAAAGTGTAGCAGTGGAATCAAATTATCAGCAATGATTTGTCATTATCGAATTTTTGCTGGGTAATTATTTTAATTAAAATCTAACAAATCATTTAGAAATTTCTGAGGAAATGACTTTCAATAATAATAAAATTAACGAAAGAAATCTTACATATTAAATCATATAAACAACTTTTATACAAAAACACCCAAAACAATATTTATGAACAAGAAACCAAATATCTAACCGAAGGGCACCATTTATAATTAAAAATATAAAAAAAATAAAATAAAAACATATCGCCATTATATAAACAAAAAATAAAAACAAAACAATAATTTAACTAAAACTATTAATTAACACAATTTTATACTTAAATAAAATAATTTAAAGAAATAAACTCAACAACCCAAATATCATCATAAATAGGTACTACTAATGGTCACTGGTTAAAACCACATAACTAATAGGTTTAACCTACATGATCATCAATATATTCAAAGAAAATTGCTCAAATAATGGGATAATAATTTAAAAATTAACTATAAACAAAACAACGTAAACAGGTAAATGAAACGAAATTTATTTATGGCATTAAACATAAACAAATAAAAAATAAATAAATAATGCACAAAACACAAGAATTATAAAAAAAAAACTAAAAGAATTAATGCAATTTTTAGTTGAGTTCTATTTCAGTTCTAATTCCGTTCTAGTTTAGTTCTAGTTCATTTCCAGTAGAGTTCTAGTTCAGTTCTATTTCAGTTCTAGTTCAGTTCTAGTTCAGTTCTAGTTCAATTCTAGTTCAGTTCTAGTTCAGTTCCAGTTCAGTTCTACTTCAGTTCTAGTTCAGTTCTAGTTCAGTTCTAGTTCAGTTCTAGTTCAGTTCTAGTTCAGTTCTAGTTCAGTTCTAGTTCAGTTCTAGTTCAGTTCTAGTTCAGTTCTAGTTCAGTTCTAGTTCAGTTCTAGTTCAGTTCTAGTTCAGTTCTAGTTCAGTTCTAGTTCAGTTCTAGTTCAGTTCTAGTTCAGTTCCAGTTCAGTTCCAGTTCAGTTCTAGTTCAGTTCTAGTTCAGTTCTAGTTCAGTTCTAGTTCAGTTCTAGTTCAGTTCTAGTTCAGTTCTAGTTCAGTTCTAGTTCAGTTCTAGTTCAGTTCTAGTTCAGTTCTAGTTCAGTTCTAGTTCAGTTCTAGTTCAGTTCTAGTTCAGTTCTAGTTCAGTTCTAGTTCAGTTCTAGTTCAGTTCAGTTTCTAGTTCAGTTCTAGTTCAGTTCTAGTTCAGTTCTAGTATCAGTTCTAGTTCAGTTCTAGTTCAGTTTCTAGTTCAGTTCTAGTCAGTTCTAGTTCAGTTCTAAGGTTCAGTTCTAGTTCAGTTCTAGATTCAGTCTAGTTCATTTCTAGTTCAGTTCTAGCATTCAAGTTGCTAGTTCAAGTTCTAGTTTCAGTTCTAGTTCAGTTCTAGTTCAGTTCTAGTTCAGTCTAGTTCAGTTCTAGTTCAGTTCTAGTTCAGTTCTAGTTCAGTTCTAGTTCAGTCTCTAGTTCCAGTTCTAGTTCAGTTCTAGTTCAGTTCTAGTTCAGTCTAGTTTCAGTTTCTAGTTCAGTTCTAGTTTCAATTCTAGTTCAGTTTCTAGCTCTAGTTCCTTAGTTTCAGTTCTAGTTCAGTTCTAGTTCAGTTCTAGTCAGTTCTAGTTCAGTTCTAGTTCAGTTCTAGTTCAGTTCTAGTTCAGTTCTAGTTCAGTTCTAGTCAGTTCTTCAGTTCTAGTTCAGTTCTAGTTCAGTTCTAGTTCAGTTCTAGTTCAGTTCTAGTTCAGTTCTAGTTCAGTTCTAGTTCAGTTCTAGTTCAGTTCTAGTTCAGTTCTAGTTCTAGTTCAGTTCTAGTTCAGTTCTAGTTCAGTTCTAGTTCAGTTCTAGTTCAGTTCTAGTTCAGTTCTAGTTCAGTTCTAGTTCAGTTCTAGTTCAGTTCTAGTTCAGTTCTAGTTCAGTTCTAGTTCAGTTCTAGTTCAGTTCTAGTTCAGTTCTAGTTCAGTTCTAGTTCAGTTCTAGTTCAGTTCTAGTTCAGTTCTAGTTCAGTTCTAGTTCAGTTCTAGTTCAGTTCTAGTTCAGTTCTAGTTCAGTTCTAGTTCAGTTCTAGTTCAGTTCTAGTTCAGTTCTAGTTCAGTTCTAGTTCAGTTCTAGTTCAGTTCTAGTTCAGTTCAGTTCTAGTTCGGTTCTAGTTCAGTTCTAGTTCAGTTCTAGTTCAGTTCTAGTTCAGTTCTAGTTCAGTTCTAGTTCTAGTTCAGTTCTAGTTCAGTTCTAGTTCAGTTCTATTTCAGTTCTAGTTCAGTTCTAGTTCAGTTCTAGTTCAGTTCTAGTTCAGTTCTAGTTCAGTTCTAGTTCAGTTCTAGTTCAGTTCTAGTTCAGTTCTAGTTCAGTTCTAGTTCAGTTCTAGTTCAGTTCTAGTTCAGTTCTAGTTCAGTTCTAGATCTGTTCTAGTTCAGTTCTACACCATTTTAAGTTTAAATTGAGAAAATACAAATTCATATTGAGAATTACAAATTAAAATTTGGAAAATACAAATTAAAGTTCAGAAATTTAAATTAATATTGAGAAAAACCTATTTGAAAATGGGAAGTCCAAATTAATATTGAGAAATAATAAAATTAAATTAAGAAATGAAAATTAACATCGAGAAAACACTAATTGAAATTCAGAATTCCAACATTATATTATATTAAATTACAAATTAAAATTGAGAAATTAATAAATGATAATGAGATATTTAAAATTTGTATGAAATTATTTGAAAATACTTTTTTTTATAAATCTTTTAAATAGGATATGTATTTAAAATGTTATAAATTTCAATACAAAAAAAAACAATATTAATTTAGGTTTTCGTAATATCATTTTGTATTTTATCAATTTCAATTTGTATTGTCTCAATATTAATTTCGATTTCTCAATATCAATTGGTTTTTTCTCAATATTGAGTTGAAATTTCAAATTTCAATTTGTTTTTTCTTAATATTAATTTTGATTCCTAAATTTAATTTTGTTATGTCTCAACATTAAATTGGATTTCTGAAATTCATTTTGGTTTTTCGCAATACAAATTTGGATTTTCTCAATTTAAACTTGAAATGGTGTAGTTCAGTTCTAGTTCAGTTCTAGTTCAGTTCTAGTTCTAGTTCAGTTCTAGTTCAGTTCTAGTTCAGTCTAGTTCAGTTCTAGTTCAGTTCTAGTTCAGTTCTAGTTCAGTTCTAGTTCAGTTCTAGTTCAGTTCTAGTTCAGTTCTAGTTCAGTTCTAGTTCAGTTCTAGTTCAGTTCTAGTTCAGTTCTAGTTCAGTTCTAGTTCAGTTCTAGTTCAGTTCTAGTTCAGTTCTAAAAATCTTTAAAGATTAAAAAAAGAATTTCCGAAGGTATCAATATTACAAAAAAACCATATGAATTTGTATACAAAAGTTACATTTTTGATCCATTGGTTTCTATTACCTTAAAAAGTTCTAAATATTTTAAATCAATAAAACTCCATAAAATTAAAGATTGTAAAAGTATTAAAAATTCTATTAATATAATTTATAAACATATTTAAATAATCAAAATTTTTGTATATATTTTTGAGCAACAGCTGCGTATTGTAAATTTATTTCCTAACTAAAATCAAAAATTTCATTCATAAAATTATTAATAAATAGTTTAAGAAAAATGTTTATTATATGTGTAATTTACTTTTGAATTTAAGTGTTTAAATGTTATGAAATTTTTCTATGAACTAAATTTTAAAATAAATATTTTACTAATCATTTATTAATAAAGAATCATTGTTTCATAGTTAAAATGTTTACTAATTTTAAGAAAAAGGAATATTTAAAGTAAAATATCTACAAAGACAAATATTTTATGGTCATTTATTTTGTATTAGTTTTAAAAAAGGATTAAACTATCAAAAACACCATTTTTACTATTTATTGTTATTAAAGCTGCTAAGTACTATTTAAACTTTAATAAATATAAAGACATACAAAATAACTTGAAAAAATAAACTTATACTCTCACCATACATACTAATGCATATACAAATTTATATACATATTATCTACATAGATATATACACTAATTCCAATGTAGATCTTTATATATACGATATCATACAGTTTTACTAACCAAACCATCATATTTATAATAAAATTCATATATACATTTACTGCGTTTTAATATTTAATGACACATCATGACAATGGAGTATAAAATATTTATTTAAATAATAAATGAAACTTATACTTATTATACGACATAGTTTTAAATCAAGCAAAAACACATCTAAATAACTTAGTTATTAAATTTAAACAAAAACCATTTTAATATTAAAACTACAAAAATAGTTATTCATACGAGTACTTAAATATAAACTTTATTATCTCAAAAATACATTTTAAATGTACTAAAGACAAAAAATCAATAAAAATTGACATATGAAATAAAAAAGAAATTAATAAAATTTGTTTTATTTTGGGATCTTATACACGAAGTAATTGTAATTTGATTACGATATCTCTTAAATATTTCATCAGATCTAGCTAACTTTAGTTCATGTTTAATGTTAGGTCAGTAACAAATCAGTGTTTGATTAGTTCTAAATCAACAAGAGATAAGTTATACCCTAGTACTAGTTATTCTAGTTCCGTTCTGGACCGGTACCATCTAAGCTGCAAATCAATATAACTCACAAATTAGCAAAAAATTTTAAATCTAATGTAGTACTAGTTTAGCACAAGATCAATTTTTGATCTATCCTAAATGTGTTTAGTTCCGTTTCAGGTCAGTACTAAGAAGATCATATGAAATAGATTAATACTAGCTCAGATCATGATCAGTTGAACCTCATTTTCAGTTCAATTCCAGTAATAATTATTCTCCAGAACTTCTCTATTTAATTTCGTTATCAAAAGTATAGATCAATGCAAACAAAGTTAGAACAGTTCTATAACAATTACAAGTCAGTTCTAGTTCAGTTCTAGTTCAGTTCTAGTTCAGTTCTAGTTCAGTTCTAGTTCAGTTCTAGTTCAGTTCTAGTTCAGTTCTAGTTCAGTTCTAGTTCAGTTCTAGTTCAGTTCTAGTTCAGTTCTAGTTCAGTTCTAGTTCAGTTCTAGTTCAGTTCTAGTTCAGTTCTAGCTCAGTTCTAGTTCAGTTCTAGTTCAGTTCTAGTTCAGTTCTAGTTCAGTTCTAGTTCAGTTCTAGTTCAGTTCTAGTTCAGTTCTAGAACTGAGAGCATTAGAGCATCTGACTCGCTCTGGCGTCCCATTTGCGTGACTAAGAAATGAAATAAATTCTATATTTGCACTTAATCTAATTAAAATCATTTCTTTACCAACAAAAATATATGTATGCCAAATCTCTTACAATCTTAAAAGAATAAAAATAACAAAACACATATTTATTTAATAAAATTGACAAGCGACTATGAGCCACTTAAAAACCTCAATATATCACAACCTGCAGCAAATGAATTGAAACAAAGAAAGACACATTTCGGTAAAGAAAAAGAAACAAATATGTACCATAAATTCTAAATAAGAAACTATAACTAAACAGCAGGATACAAAGGACAAACATTTATTTTAGTTTCTTTCACATTTACTATGATAAAATGACAGAATGACAGGACAACTGTGTTAGAAAACGAAGTTATGTGGCTGTGATTGGTTATATTGCTTGGTTTAAAGTAA